TGCACGTAGCGGTAGCAGCAGTGGTGGTAGTGGCTCTGGTTCCAGGACCTGGGCATAAGGTTGGGGGAGGGGGATTGGGTTAGAGCGGGGAGAAGAGTTGTCTGGCTCTGGGGAAGAGGAGGGGAGTGAGACTGGGTCGTGGGGGAGAGCAGTGTACACGGCGTACCAGCCAACACATGCTCAAAACCGGCTGCTCAGCGCACGTGCCCCAGTGCCTGGAGGGAGACGCACGTGGCGGTAGCAGCAAATCTGGCTCCGGGACCCGGGCATAAGGTTGGAGGGGGAGGGTGATTGGGTGAGGGGAGTGCCTGGCTCTGGGGAGGAGGATTGGGTTAGAACAGGGGAGAGGGAGTAGGAATCCCATGCCAGCTCTAACTTCTCAGGAAGCATGTGGCTGTCGTGGGGAGTAAAGAAAGAGCACCCGCTTCCTGAGAAGTTGGAGCTGCCATGCAGTCCCGGGACTCCGACTCCCACTCCCACTCCCACACACACACACCTTGCAGAGGAAGGTAGTAGGAGGAAGAACCAGTGTTTCAGGAAGCACACCAGCTGTTTATGGGAGGGGAAGAACATCCCATGTGCTTCCTGAGACCCAGGATCCCCAGGTACCAGCCGAGCTGACCCCATCCCTGTCCTCTCCCCCTGACCAGACCCCCTCACCAGCACCCTGTCCCCTGCCCCCACCAGCACCTTGTCCCCTGACCCAGAACTCTGTGCCGTGCCCTGTCCCCCCCCAACACAGTTGGGGCCACATTGATGTGGCTTGGGGAGTTTTGGAGAGTGGTTTTTTTGCATCTCACTTGTGTGGCCCCGACTAACTTTTCTATGGGTAAGTAATCCCTGACTCAAAACAGGTTCCCCGCCTCTCTCATAAATAAAGACAACACTGAAACATTTTGTGTTCGATGTTATATTTTATTTAAAAATTAAACCTGGCCAATTGGGGCCAAGCCCCCATCTGGCCACAGCATCATAACACAGCATTTCCCCTCTCCCCCCTTGACTCCAAACCTGAGCCTATCATACACTGGAACCCCTTGTCCTGAGCCTCTCACATCCCCAAACTCCTGCATCCCCAGTCTTCTGCCACAACACTCCTGCACCATCCACGCACTGCAAATCTGTGCCCTGAGCCCATCACGCTCCCAGCCTCCCTGCCCTGAGCCTCTCATGCACCCCGGCCCAAACTCCTGCACCCTCATAGCCACAAGCCTGCAGCTTGCTCAGCACCCCAACCCTCCTCATGACCCCAACACTCTCCAGCCTGGCGCCCCATCCCTGGGATGGCTGTACCAGCACCTATTCCCCCTCCCCCGCGCAGCTGGGTTTCTGTTTGTTTGTGATAGAAATGTAGCCGTGTCAGTCTGGGGTAGTTGAAGCAAAATTCAGGACAATGTAGCACTTTAAAGACTAACAAGGTGGTTTATTAGATGATGAGCTTTCGTGGGCCAGACCCACTTCCTCAGATCAAATAGTGGAAGAAAGTAGTCACAACCCACCTATTCCCCCTCCCCCGCGCAGCTGGGTTTCTGTTTGTTTGTGATAGAAATGTAGCCGTGTCAGTCTGGGGTAGTTGAAGCAAAATTCAGGACAATGTAGCACTTTAAAGACTAACAAGGTGGTTTATTAGATGATGAGCTTTCGTGGGCCAGACCCACTTCCTCAGATCAAATAGTGGAAGAAAGTAGTCACAACCATATATACCAAAGGATACAATTAAAAAATGAACACATATGAAAAGGACAAAATCACATTGCAGAACAG